GAGTAATCTAAATTAGCATACAATTAATATTTAAATCAGTTATAGAAGATTAACATTCACAGGTTACATACCATGTAATCTGTACATGAAAGATACACATTTACTAGAGATAAGATTTGATAGGCAAATGCTGCTTAGACAATAATATCTTTATTATTGATACAGACTATTTACTATTCGGCATGTCAGGTATTTAAAAATTTTGCTATTCTTAAAGACATTTCTGCAATTTCAGCTGTATAATGTTTGAATATTTAATATTCATCCTGCTGACACACACTTGTAACTACTTGAATTAGAAGAAAAAAATCTGAAAAAGCACAAAAGTTATAACACAAAATTTCTTTCTAGAAACAGTATTATTAATATTTACAAGTATCCCCCATGCCAAAGCAGTTTCAAATATGATACACATTCACCATTAACATTGTAGAGTGCAGAAACTTAGAAAAAATGACTGTTATGTACATATAAAATTACATGTTTTTAGAACAAGCTTATGGTTTAGGAGCTAAAGCATGTGTCATGTTCAGATCTCCCACATACCCTACTGTTGTTCCATGTTAATGAGGATGTGCAAAGCCATGGAACTATATATGGACACTTACATGTTGATCTTATATAGACAGAGAACATAGCTACATGTGTGCCACACGTCACTATCTTCTTTTCCATACTTTGATTAATAAGCTAGCTGGTTCAGAGTTATAGCTTCCCTCCTATGTTACACAAGCACAGAGTAGAAAGATTTGTGACAGCCATGTAAATAATTAAGATAAGAAATGTAACACAAGACAGATTCCAGACCTGTCTATATGTTTTAACCTCTTCCTTAGCCTGCTATTTTGAGGTACAGGACGCTTTCAGTCTACTGAAATAATAATCATAATCTCACAGAATCGGGGCCCTTTAATGTAATTTTTCTTGTTGATAAACCCCAGATTTTTGTTTTGTAGCATCTGTTTCAGGTTAGAAATTTAAATAACTATAATCTAGGTAATAAAAGTCCATACATTAAACAAACCCCATGATTTTCTGTTACTTAACATTTTAACACTATTGCTTCTATCACAGAATGGCTGTTCGGCTCCACTGACTGAATACTGCAAGAGCTTGTCAAAACATTTTACCTGACAGATATGTTTGTTCTTCCATTTGCTCAGCACACATTGACTGTTTTGCATTAAGTCCTAAAGGACAACAGAAAACAGAGAGTGGAGTTGGCAGTACACACTGTCACTACTGGTTAACATACTTTTGATTTTTGAGTTTATAGATGAAGCATGTCACACAAAGATGCAGCTGTTTTAGAACAGCCTGCCAGACAAAAGCACATTTATCATCACTGGGAGAGTTGGATCTTTATGAAAATTAAAGCTGTTGAAAGAGGTTTGAAAACCGGATAATATGTTGCTGTACTTGAAACTTTCTGAAACATACCTCTACCTCCTTGAGTGTGTCTCGCAGTTTGTCTGGGCGCTTGTTTTTCAGTATCCAGGAATAATCTCT